ACACACACACACTGCTACAATCTGCTGAACTCAGCCTTTACAGTCGTGGAGGTGGTGCATTTCTGAAATCATAAACAAAGATCCAGATCTCGGGTCATATTCATCTGATTCAATGAGGTCTTCTGACTTTTTACAAGACAGATGTTAACAGTGACACAGGTTAAATTTAGACTAATTTAGTTTTTGAAGTAAGGGTTCAAATGCAATCCTGTTTTTATTATTTGATGATTTTAGGCACATAGTCAAAATTATATTTTATTCTAAAGGTATGCATATGAATATAGGAACAGCTGGCTGGACACAACTAAACAGACGTCGACAGTAGCATTGCGCTCCTAAAATCTCCTTTGTATTGTATTGTATTTAAATATATTTCAATGTCATAATCAAAATATTGATTCAGCAGGAGTAAAGTATGGTTTGTTTAATTAATAATACAAGCACCATTGTAAAACTGCCACAGTCTCTTCCTCAGATGTACTTTGGCTGCATGTGTTCTCAGGCCTGTTAGGCTCTGAAAAGGCCCATTTTAGATTTCCACTGAAGATAATATGAAACTGTAAGATCTATGCTTCAAACAAACAGCAGCCCTGGCTTTACTACCAAAGATTTTTTCAGAGAAAGGGACATTTGTCTCGATCTTGGTACAACAGTGGAAACATGAAGACGGGACAGTGATGAAAAAAAAATCTTATGTTCATTGATGTAACTCTGATAAAAAAAATCTTTGCTTCTTTAAAAATGAAGAAGGGTAAGATTGGTATCATGAGACAAAACCAGTTAGAATCTGACATCATGGTTCGTCACCTTCCTCTTCAAAAGATCAGGTTAGGTTCTCATGCATTAGAGTCTTCCTCTTTTGGAGTTACGTCCTGTTTATGCATCATGACAAGTTGTACTGGTGTGTGTGTGTGTGTGTGCGTGTGCGTGCGTGTGTGTGTGTACACGCAAGAGCAGGTGAGTTCCTCAGAGAAATGTCCCTGTTCTTGTGGTTACCATGGTTACAGATCAAGCAGTTTAGGGATGATCCCATTTTGCAAAATGCAGCATTGAAACAGTTCTACTCTCCATTTAATCGTTTTGTGTTTTGCTCCACCTGTTGGCTTCTAGAGAGATGTGCACACAGGAGAAACCTCAGTAACATTTTAAATTGAATTAGGAAATGTATAATATAATCATAAATTCACATTCTTTTTGCATTGTGTATTTTGTAAAATATAAGTTTTCATGTCAGCAAACATATTCAGTGACACTGATATGTCTCATATGAACCATTGTGATGTAGAGTATTTGTCTCCCTGTGGTCAGGTATCTCCTCCAGCCTAAAGGGAACGGCAGCAAGTCCAAGTCGGATGATTTAGGTTCCTTACGTCTGAAGCTGACCTACATAGAAGACACTGTGCTGCCATCTGCCTGCTACACACCACTCTGCAACCTGCTGCTCAAATCCCCAGATGTGAAGGTGAGGAAACAGATCAAGTTACAGTAAATCCTGAGATAACATCAGATAATTCAAAGTAGTGTTGTTTTCCTTTTTATACCTCAATCACCTCACTGCATCTGTTTCTGAAGTGTATTGAAATATAATCATGGAATTGATGATTATTGCAAAGTTATGTTCTTTCTCCAGAACTTCCTTCTCTCTGCAAGTGGTGCATTTCCCCTTTTCACCTTGTGACCTCTCATTATTCTTTGCCTCCCTCAGCCCATCTCAGCATCAGCAGCTCACATCCTGGGGGACATCTACAGAGAGCGGTACGAGGCTGTGCTGCCCGTGGTCCGACTGCTGCTCCACCACAATCGCTTTGTGCCTTTTGTTTCTGCTGTGGCGGTGCTAGAGCTGGACAACACTCAGTGAGTGCTCACACATTTATAACACACAGTACAGGAACACAGCGGTTTGTAGGTAAACATGTGTCCAAATACATTTCATGACCGAAATTTTACTTCTCCAATAGTGTAAGTGTGACAGCCTGGTTTTGATTTTTGTAGTTTTTCCAGTCTTTCTTTGTCGCTGTGATGATATAACCAAATTGACATGACAAACAGGAAGTAGCTCTGGAAAATACTAGACGATAAAAGGTAGATTTTCATGTTACCCCATTAAACTTGTGAAGCATAGGAGGGTGGATTACATGTCAAATTTGGCCATAATTACAAAAATAAGATCTTGGTGATAAAAACATAGATATTCTTTTTCCTTTTTAAAAAACTGAAGTGGTTCTTTTGTCATGAAATGTGGTCAAAATGGTTCTAAAGTCTGGTCGATGATGGTGGAATATTTCTGTGTCCGTACAGGGAGGCTAACATTATATTCCGTGGCAACTCACTGGCAACACGCTGCATTGATGACATGATGAAGATTGTGGGAAAAAATTACCTGGCGGTTACCCTGAAGCCTGTAATAGATGAGGTATGAGTAATAAGGGTGTGCACACACACACACAGATGCCAGAATGGGCATGAATCACTGAGGTCAATGTGGAAAACTTTGTAAAACAGCTGTATTTCCACTGCAGGCAAGCAGATGTGCAAATGTAATTAGTTCCATCAACCATTCTTTGAAAACAGTTTTCAATAATTCCCTTTAAATGACTCAGTTCAATGGGAATAAAATCATAATTCTTTTTATCTGTCTTTATTTTTGGCTAGGTACGCTGGTCCTACTGAATCTGTCTTCATAATTTGTTGTATGTAATTTTGTAAATCACGTATTAATTCAATATTTTATACGTGATTAACATAAGTAATTATTTGTTACAATAATATTTGACATGTCTAGAAGAAAAACACA